GGCACGATCCCTAGCTAAGTCGAAATCACACCCTTTTTTCCAGTTAATTCAACAAGCACAGCATACTTCACCAAAAAGTCACAAGAACCCGTTTCACCAATTCTTCCAGCACAGCCTCCACAAACACTTCGAAGAATTTGTCATACAACTACCCGTTGACCCTGCCTCTACGCTGATACGCCCCATCAACTACTCTACGATCCTCCAGGAGAACAAAGAAGTCGCCAAAGCTGACACACTCCGTTTGAAACCTACTCCGCATCACTTACTCATCTTCTCAGATGGTTCACGCATACCGAAGAAGACCACTGCAGCTGCAGCCTGGTGCGCTAACTCAAGGTCGTCAAAATCAACTCATCTCGGGCCAGCCCGATCCCATGGTATATACCAAGCAGAGTATACAGGCGTCCAGCTAGGGCTCAAGATAGCCCTAGAAATGGCGACTTTTGCCACCCATCGCACCACGATTGTCCTTGACAATCAAGGTGTGATCAAAGACCTCCAATCTAACTCTTCGTCGATCTCTTCATTAGACAACCGACAACAAACTTTCAAATTACTCCAATGTATTCACCAAGCTTTCCCGAATATGCGAGTCACCATCCAATGGTGCCCAGGACACAAAGGAATCCCGGGCAACGAGGAAGCCGACAAAATCGCCAACTCACTAGCAAAACGATCATTGCCCAGCACATTCACCAACACCCCAAGCACCGCCGCCTTTCTTGTGGCGATCAAAGAGTGGAAAGTTGAACAAACACAACTCCTCGACGACAAAGACCTGAAACGACTGGGCCACGCGCCTCAGCCGAAGAAACACCTAGATGGATTGTCAGAGCTCCTCAAACACGAGGTGGCTACGCTGACGCAACTACGATCAGGACACGCCCCCCTAAACGCGTACCTCAACCGATTCAAGCAGCCTATTGACCCAGTATGTGAGTGTCAGGAAGGTATAGAAAATGTTGATCACTTCCTTTTCATTTGCCAACTACACGAACAGCACCGCACAAAACTTGAACACGAACTACAAGAACATGTTACGAAAATGGATAAAAGAATCTTATCAACACCGAAATGCTTCAAGCTAATTGCCACATACTGCAACTCCACGTGGAGATTTGCCAACAGATGGATCTGGGCCCAAGCCACAGACGAATCCCAACCAACTAACCGCCTGCAACCACAAGAGTAACTTTTCGTTTCTTTTTCCCTCCATACTTCATCGCCGCTTTTCCAAAAAACCATATAAAACATGTAAATTTAGATGAAACAGCCAACAGCAACCTTTCCCCTGACACAGCCAGAGGGGTTTTACCGGTGCTGGACATATAAATGAGTGTTTGATAGCCTAACGGCTCCAAAAACACTATAAGAAATGCAAAAAAAAAAAAAAAATGTGTAATCCTCTGTTAAGAGCCAATGTTTGATGTGCATTTTAGGCAAGAGGGCAGCACATTCCTCGGGAAAAAAATATGTACCTCATGCGCCAGAGTCAGGCGCCAAGTTCTTCCTTTGGACCATATGCAAATCCTTGGTGTGGAATAAGCTATAAGGGTTTGAAGCAAGCTCCCTGCAAAAGCCAAATCTCTGAGCTTATGGAGCGTACACATCTGGCGTAAGTCCCTCGCTCGACGCCTCGCGAGGATGCGCAAGCGTGGGACTTTGCTAAGTTTAATCGGGTCATGACCTACTTCAAGTCACTGGATGGAGACTCAATGAGGAATAAGATATTGCACATACCTACAATGCCACTGAGACATTCTCAGAGAAATTTTGATCTCATGGGACCAGAATGAGAGTCGGAGGAGTTTTATCCTTTTGTCCAAAGTTCTGTTTTTTTCTGCAGACAAGATTTGACTTGATATTTCCATGATCACAACAAATGACTGCATCATGACTCAGAATTTCTCGACACCTGATGTTTCCTTTCTTCTGCCAGAATCAACACCGCCGGCGCTCCGCCCGAGATAGCGCGAGCGGAGCGGTAGCGAAGCGCGCGTCCCGCCCGCGCTAGCCCCTTTTCTATATAGCGGGTTTCACGCATTGCTATAGCTATGGTGAAACCGGACGATTTATAGCGGTATTGAGATCCGCCTGGCATAGTGTTTTTCCGCTGTGCTATCACCCGCCATAGCGACCCCGAGCGCTTAGCGACAGGGCACCATCAAGCGCCCTGTAGCACCTCATAGCGGGATCCATTGGCTCCTTATCATCCTTCTGATGGAACAATAAACCAATCAACAATGGAGGTATGTTCTCTTTATATATCTTTCTTTTCTTTCTTCCAATAAAAAAATCCTAGCAACCTTGATTTCAATCAGACACACGAAAACACTTTGAATGACAACTAATATGTGCTTCTTTCTTTGTTTAACGCTTTGATAGATCGCTTCAAACGAAGAAACTAATCTCAATCTAACTGATAGCAGACCCTCAAACACTTGAACACGAAAACTCAGATACGACCACTAGGACACTTTCAAAAAAAAGTTCAAGACACTTAGAACACTCTTAGATCACCACTTATACACAAAAAACACAAAAAACACAATGATCCGTTCGATGGATCACAAAAAAGAAAAGACCCACACTTCACCCCCCCAAACAGACACGATTCAACAATCAATTCTTAGATGATTGAAAGATGATTCCCTCCCTCAGTTTCAAGATCGTCTCCTCCTTCTGATTCCAATCGGACTTTGGTTTTCATTCAGGGTGAGTTCTTTCTCCACTATCTCTTATTCAATTTTTGATCTTAATCTTTTATGTAAGTAAGTATCATTTCATTGATTGATTGTTTGTTCTTCTACTGATCCATTTTCTTTCTTTCTTTGTACATAGATTGATTCATCTTCTTCAATCTTTTCATTAATTAATCTTAGATTGATATCGATTTCAGTGACAATCAATGGTTCATTTGTTTAAAATCTTCATCCAACTGATTCTGATCTCAATGTTCATTTCACCAGCTCACTACAAAACTCTTCAACTAATCTCTCTACTCGAATAAATTCTTCTCCACTTCTTCTTGACTTTCCTGATTAGATTTCGATTTTGAGTGTTTGTTATGTAAGTTCTTCTTCTTTCCTTATCTTTCAAACTAATGACATCGTATGACATTTGCTATTCACTTTCTTTCATTTTGTTTTTTAGGGTACCTTCAATCACAAAAGAAACTTCTATCGATCTTCTTCAAACTTGATCAATCTGATTTCATGATGTAAGTTTCATTTTACTTGTTTATTCTTTTCTCATGTCAATGTTCTTCTTATTCTAACTAACTTGGCTTTCATCATGTATACTTTTGTTCTTTTATGATATAGATTAATTGATTTTGATCGTTTACTTCTTTTCACTTATACCCGTCTGTTTTAGATTCTGATTCTTCATGTACTTAAGTAATTTTTATTTATCTTTCTTTATCTGCTTGTTTCTAAATTGTTCAATTCATTTCACTGCTTCTTTTGTTTGGATTGATCAATTAATTTTATTTCGTTTGATTCGATCTTCTAATGATTCAACTTCGATTTCTGAATGAAAGTTTTCTATTCTTTCCATTCTCTCTTCTTTTGATCTTTTACTGACTATTGACATCATTTGTTTTTATGCTCTACTATTCTCTTGGCTTTCTTCATTAGTTCTTAGCTTTATAGATATGCAATTTCATCTGTTGATAGTGATTCATTCAAATTTCGATTTTTGGCTTCTTGAGTTTGTATCTCTTTTCTCTTTTGTTAAAAAGTCTCAAAACGCGCTTTTAAGCGCTATGTCCTGTCAAAATCGCACATAGCGGAGCGGAGCGCTTGGATCTTGCGCACCGCTCTGAGATCCCATAGCGACTCCTAAAAGTTAGCGGAGCGATTGGGCGCTTTATCATAGCGTCAAATCGCTCCGCTTGCAATTTTGGCGATTATAGCGGAGCGGAGCGCAGCGACGGGGGTGTTGCCAGAATGTTGCTAAGAATTTTCCACTGCCTCTTGAAATAGAGTCCCCAGTATGTATTCACAATTTGATCATCATGCACACCCCCAAGTCTCAAGATAAACTTTTCAATGTGAGACATGTGACCTCATGTGGCTGCTCTAAAACTGGAACAGTGGCTGGATTACATAGTTGCAAATTGGGCATCTTTTGGAGATCAAAGGGATTCAAAACTACCATTGCAGGAGAAGGCAAGAGGGAAGGCGGGCAATGATTTGCAGGCTGTGCGAAGTGAGATGAAGAAACTGACAAAGTTCAGAAGTAGATCATGATGTTATGATTCTCTCACAATCATGATAAGCTTAACCAAGCCTCATGCGCTTTGGCAAGAGGGTGACTGGATGTTTTCTCTGCTGGTGACAAAACAACCTCACTCCATCCAAATGTCAGCTTAACGAAGCCTGTTTCGTCGCGGCGTTTCGCAACGTCATTCTCTTTTGTGCTTCACTTTAACCAATTTCGGGGCAGTTTTACCATACCTCTTGGTTTCAAAGCCTGTGTCTTGTTTCTATAAAATCAAGCGCCTTCTCAAGGACATCTACATACGCATATGTAAGTCATAAGACCCCCGCAACAATGAGCAAGAATGGAAGTTCCCAAGCTTTAATTAGACTTAACTACACACATTTTTGGCGAACATTTTTCAACCATTTTACTGAGAGGACATCAAGATTCGCACAGCAACATGTGCGAAGAGACCGGGTGCATAGTTGAGTGTCAGTGCGTAGAAATTCTCTGACCTGGGGGGGTGTAATCTGGTGTGATCAACCAAGAATTGGGCTTTGAAAGCTTTGATAAGCTTTAATAAGCTCTCTGCAATGATCCATAATTATACAAGCTGGGTAAATATTGTCCTCTTTACACAATATCGTCCGTTCAGATCCGTTCGTTCTTCTGCTAACTTGGACGTGAGAATGGGTATCCATGCATCAGTATGTGTCTACATAGTTAAGCTTAGTCTACATATATGATGAAAGAATTTCCATCTCATGCTTCCAATTTTCTCATTTGACAAACTCATACCTCATCATCTCATCGAGAACATTCTGACGTACTCATATAATACCTCCAAGATTATATCCTACATAGAAGTAATTGTGGCCTGATATCTCCTTCCTCACGACCCCATAACGCAAGATGAACAATAAGAATGCCGTTCCCATTCACACTTTATCTCTCATCAAGAACCTCAACTATCATTCTTCCTGGCCACTCCAATCTTTGACCACTCAGAGTCAAATGAAACGGGAGACGCGCGCATGGTGCAGCGAGAATCTCAATTTCAAGGAGCTCGATCTTCTCTTGTCTCTTTCGGAGCACGTGGTTGATTCTTCCGAACCCCGCTCCAAGGGGTCCCCTATGGTCGCCTGTCCTAAACGTCATTCCAGCTTACCGATCCATTTTGACCCTAAGACAAGGAGGTGCGAGATACTTTCACATTTTTGTCTATTTCTGATTTTCTCCTTTGTGCTGGGACTTGGATGCTTGCCAGATTTGTACCGTCATTCTGATTTCCCTGATACGACTGTAGGCTTTCTTACTCCCGCAATAACTCTCGAGTTCGACTCCAGAGTACGCTTAGAGGTTCTCAGATTTTGACCAATGGTAAGTCCAGTTTGAGCTTGGAGCTTTGATGCGATACACCCACTAGGTAATGTAAATCAAAATCAACATCAAGGAATCAGAAACTGACGCCTTCCTGCTCATTGGTTCTTAGGCCTTTCTTCAGCGGATTCGGAATTGCCCACAGAGGGCTCAAGCGATGATACCTCTTGGCCTTGTGCAGATCTTGGAGCTGATCTGTGGCGATCAACAAAGCTCGGTCTCGATACCTCCCACAATCCTTCGCTTTCTTTCCCGCTACCTCCCAGGAGAATCTTGCTTCAGCCTATGACACAAGGGTCCGAGTTACTCACTCAAGATGTACCTTCGGGTTCTCTTCAATCAGTAAGCAAACACTGATCTACTCTTCGTATACCAGATGTAAAGTTGATCGTCCTGCGACAGCTGTGTTCAAGAACTTCTTCCTCTCCGGAACTCCGCACTCCAGTCAGAGCCGCCCATGCAGAAGCAGAAGATTGCGACCCTTATCTGGTGTTTGGAAACCAACTTGCACAATCATATCCCCGAGCTATTGAGCACGTCTCCGATGACACATCTCCTTTGAAAGACAGGAAAAAATCTGTCGACACAGACAGCAGAGAAGATTCAGAAGGATTATATACAGATGCCGTTACTTCGTTTTTACGTCTCTCTTTATTGCCATCTAGCGTTGAAAAAGATCCCGCAGTTCGGCAATCAATCGCTTTTCCTGATAGTGGCTTACACATTCAACCTAGCTCAGATGACGGAACTGTTTGTTTCAGTGGTATTCTTCCCTCGGCGAGCTTGAGCCCTGTGGTGGACTACGCCCAAAGCTTTCACAGTGTAAAAGGCTCAATCGGCTCAACTCTACCAATGAACGATGCATCATTCTGGTCTACCAATCTACGGGCTACTGAAAGTCAAAATACCTTGGACTTGTCCTCTGATTGTTCGTGGGTATCAGCTGCGAGTCATATCGAATTCACGGAAGGTGAAACTTTGAGACCGGACGACCCAACAATTTTCAATAAGGGAATGTCAACTTCTACTACACCTAAGGTCTCAGACGGCTCAACGTATCGCGGAATATGCGGGACAAAGATAATCAGAGCAACTCCGACTTTGCAGTCCGATTTAGTTGAGTCTCCTCGGATCCCTTCAGGCCCGCACAAAGGCACAATTGGGGATCAAGTGCTAGGATACACCCAGCAGGAACCTCACAATTTTAGAATCGGACTTGGGTTAGAGGATCAACAAATCCGACGAAGAAAGAATCTTCAATCAGTACTCGGTGCAGGATTTCACATGAATATGCTTCAGCCAGATATTATGAAGTTAGAAGCTGCACCGGAGAAATCTCCTTTGAAGAATACGTTATCATTCTGGACTCGCAAGGTTCAATCTGCCCCTAAGAAGTTAAAGAAGATGACACCAAAAACAATACGGCAGCATCAGTTGGAAAGCGTGTCTACTCTAGATGTACAGATTGCTGTCCAGCATGGTTATCACTTCTCCTTTCCAGAATCCTCAAATTCATAGCGATTAGTGGCCTAGCAGAAGGCTTCAACGTGACTTCAGACCACATATTTCGAACTTCATTCAACTTGATACTTGTCCATTTATAACTTTTCTTTTATTTGAAATTGATTGTGTTTATGTTATCATAAGTGTATTGAGAATGTATTTATCTCTATACAGATGTTATCTTTTTAGCCATCTTTTTCCATTGCAATAGGTCTATATAAAAGTGCAGATATTTAGACTACACATGATTGTGTCCAATGCTTTTCTTGGCTTCTTTCAAGTTCTTGAAATTGTTTTTTCGTTGATTATTTCATTCACTTTATCTACCTTGCATTTTAAGACCTCAAGCTTTTACAGCTTGTAGACACCTTTTGTATCTATTACATTCTAGAACTGCTTTGTGAAACAAACTTTGAACACTCGTTAATTATCAATCACTGTGTTGTTTGGCAACTAGATCGGATCCAATGTGCCAAATGAGGACGGTCTCATTGCTTTTGAGGTCAAGGGTTTAATATTTGGTCACCACAAGATTATCTACACCACGGGGTAAGTGGGACGTGCCAAAAGCCGGGTTGAGAACGGTTTTCAACACATCTTGTTTTCAATTCAAAAGAACGGTGAGTGAGACGTTTCTAGATGCGACCAGACAAAAATCGCTCCCGGAATGATAACAGTCACCGGACATCAGGCTGTATCAGACTGTATCCAACCTATCAATCAAAGCTCAGCCAGGCAAAGATTGAGGAGGATAAACGGATTGCATCCTGATAGGATGCTTGCACTTGGCTCAAGATATGATCTCAGCCAGGTCTTCCTCACCCTTCATACCCTCTTTGACCAGGGTTTTCAACCTTTTCAAACCCAGAAAAAGAGGCGAACAAAATTGATTGTCCCACGGTTAACGTATGTTCCGTGACTGAGACCATTCTGACTTTGTTGTCGGAATCGTCTCATCTAGAAACGTCCCCGGCACCAGACGAGGCCAAGGACGATTACCCCGTGGTGTACCTTTAAGACATCTTGATTTGAGGATGATTGGCAGGCTCAAAAGCTAATGAAGCTGATGATTATCAAAGGAAAAACTCTGAGAAAAAACTGTAGACAAGTTTCAGTTCAGATAACAAGGAGAATAGTACAATATCAAGTCTGTATGCTTTATAAATTGTAACAAGACATATGCTACATGTGTCATTGATTCACAATGAAGAGATGGTCAAGAAAGCTCTGTGCTCTTATGATGTCCTCATATCAACATCACATCAAATGTTGCTCTTGATCAAATCAAGGTTGAAATCACTTCACTATGCACAGCTATATGACAGGTCCTCAGTAGTGGTGTGGTGTACCACTATTTTGAAGAACCAATACACACCACCATCTGCAGAAACCCACTATGGATCATATGTAGTGGTGTGTGTTAGTCACTAACACTCACTGTGATATTGTATCACTAGCACTATAATAGTGCACATGTTTTTTGAATGTGAAAAAAGAAATATATCAAAAGGCGTGTAGTGAACTACCTAGAAAATATGTACAAAGAACTATTCATCTTGGTTTATGGATTACTTGAGCTGGTCAGGAAAAAGCAGAGAGATTGAAAATGAACCAAGTTTTAAAGAGAGTTGGGAAGCAAGGGGAAAGGAGTGAGATGGGAAATAATAAGATAAGATAGACAAGATTTGTATTAAAGAAAGCTGTGAACCTGAAGAATAAGATAAGTTGAATGAGGAACAAGTGCATAGGGAGATAACAAACAAAAAAGATGCAGAAATATTGACAATTAAGGATTACTTCATTTTTTGCATATACACATCCAACACAAGGCCTCAGAAAACTCTCAGGAAACATTGAAACCGGCCTTTATCCATTCACAAAATGAATTGAGTTGTTCAATGGTTGCCCTTTACAATGCCATTTGATCAGACCTGCAGACATTGGCTGCTCCGGAAAATATCCTCTCACACAAACAAGTGGTTGCAGAACAGCACAGGAAATCCTGAGCCATCTCTGCAAGAGCAGGAAAGGCACCTGAGTTGTCCTAAATCACACAAAGTAGTGAGAAATCATAGTATTGGTAAAGAGAATGAAAGGGAAACTTACCTTCCACCATGAACGCAGCAAGCCACCAATCAACGGGAACTTCCCAGACATGCAGCCCTCCATCTCATGACTAACACCATTGTCAGGAGAAGGCATTGAAGCAAATACATTGTACTTGTCATCTGTAACAGTGGAATCTTGCTGATTTTATACCTTCAGCATAACAGTATAAGATGAATTGAAAGAAAATCATTCAAGTTAAAGGAAGGAAGGCTTCCTCGCTTAATCCCGTCAAGGTGCCAATACCTGATGGCATAAAAATCCGTTTCACTCACGACAGCACTTCCAGCAGTACCCACCATTGTCAAATTGCTACCAAATGACTCCTACTCACCACTCGAATTGCTATTGTGGTAGGATACCGTGTCCCATATGGATGTCAATGATCGACAAAGGAAACTTCAGACTGTCATCAAAAACTACGTAACCAATAAGACGTACCGTGTATAACACAAAACCCCTTCAAACACGCCGTCCTACCCAAAGTCCGTACATACTTGCGAGCAAGTCTCCCTTATCTTCACTTGACAGTCTATAGTCGCCATCAATACGACATCAAGCCCCATCTCAATCCCCGTTGTAGACCTTAAACCGGCTGGAATCAAATTCATCAGCCTCATGTCATCTGTTGCACGCGGTGACACCTGTCATACTTTGACATGTCAATGCGAATCCGAACACTGAATACCGCCAACAAGATGGGTACTCTGTTTGTCTCTAATCAAAAGCATGACTGACTGAACTCTGACCTACCCTTGCATCATGACCTGCGTCATTTAGGACTCTACAAGAATCAAAGCCACCCCAATCAACCGACCTCAGCAATTGTCAACAGATGTCAATATCAAACCAATTCCGCTACACTCCGTAGGTCTTGCCCCATCCATGAACGGAGGATGACCACAGCAACGCGAACCATGGGATTAGCCTCTCACAAACTATCCTCCAACCACACTCGATCTACCCACTGGCGACATATAAATACAGGCACTTCACGCACCAAGAACAGGGCAGTAGTCTTCACACCATCCCTTCCGCTGGCTCCATTTCAGCTCACCAATCAAATCTTGAAGCGTTGAAGCATTGTCTTTGTTTGAATTACATATCGACTAAATGTTTGTCTTTCTCACAATGTCATCTTACAAGGTAGTCAATTACTGTGTACTGATGCCTTTCATATGAAATCATATGAATCATATGAATATCTCTATCACAACTGTGTAGGAAATCAGGCGAAACCGACGTACCCACAGGTCATGGCATCTACATGACGGGTAACTTTGAAATAGAAGAAAAGGTATTTCAATTACTCTATACCAAAGTTAATAGTGTTAATTATTCATCAATCTCACCCCTAATAACATTTAGATATCCCTAGAGCAACAATGGGATTCCAAAGCCCGAACATATGTTGTATCAATCAGCTGCTCAGGAGCCGACCGCGACAAAAAGAGGCTGTATGAAATCCGAGCTACAGGATTCAGTTCATCCGACTTCATCCTAGATGAAGGTAAAATCTACTTTTTGCGTGGTAGTTTTTTTCCATCCAATACCAAGTACACCACATCAGACCTATTTTATTTTGAAGCTACTCATCAAGCCCCGGTCATGTTAGCTTCTGATATGCAATTCCCACTTGAAGATACTGTTGCTGTAAGTGCATGCGGTGTAATTGTTGGAGTTGATAACATCAAAGAAGAATGCATGCAAAACTTGAAGCCAAAGGCCACGGACGAGGACAAGATCACATCCATCATTACCCTTCAGCATGGAGACTATCACCCTGTTATAATTTCTCAGTGAGAAAGTGGTCTTGTGACTCTCAAGGAAAGTGAGTCAAGTTTATCTGCTACTATCTTCGCCTGTAGTAAAAGAGTGATAACCTGAGGGCACAGGTATCTTTGTAAGACTACGGCGGACAGCAGGTCTAAGAGATACAAGACACTAACCTGCGAGCTTGAAAGATATCGTGAAGCACGTGTAAGAAAGTTAATAAGATAAAAATGAATTAAACAATTGATTCTTTTCGACGAGCTTACCTGAGGGCACAGGTATCTTCGTAAGACTACGGCGGACAGCAGGTCTAAGAGATACAAGACACTAACCTAGACAGTCATAAAACGCACGATAGAAAAGTATGAAAGAGAAATTAACAAAGATCAAAGATAAAAATTAAGAGAAACTTTTAACTACCTGCGAGCTCAAAAGATATCGTGAAGCACGCGTAAGAAAGTTAATAAGATAAAAATGAATTAAACAATCTGAGAGAGATGATACGATGTTAGTAAAAGAAAGAATTGTAACTGAAAAACACTTTGATAGATATTTAGGAGAAAGGACTTACTGATTCTTTTCGACGAGAAAAGAATCAGAAGAGGGGGAAGAACAACTTTTCAGAGAGTGAGAAGGTAACCCAGAAAGAAAATTTTCCATCCCTTGAATCCGTTTACAGTTCAGCCCCTTGGTACACTTCCTAATTCAGCGCTTAACCCCTCTGGTCAACTTCCTACACTAATACTGCACAGCACACCATTTCTTCTTACCCAAACCATACAACCTTCTAAGATGTATTCAAATTTCCAAAAGCGGAAATGATCTTTGGCTACCTACCAAGATAATATCTTAACTTAAGCTTCCTGATAAGATATTATCTTAACACCTGTTGTACGTGTTCATTCATCTATGTACAGATTTGTGCTGATACCTCACATACCCATTGCTTCCAAAGGAGAAAGCTACAGCTTTCCGCTTTGAATATCGCATCCGCCCTTTCCCACATTTTGCCGGCATACGGAAGATCCTAAAGGCAGGTCGTGAAGTGATATTTCATGGTTTCATTCACGACTTCAACAAGACTTCATTGAACTGGGTAGTTATTGTAAGTTCAAAACCTCACTTATGTTACCAATCATATATGTCATTCTCACATCCTTTGCATGTAGGTCAACAAGATATCATTGACGAATGGCTCACAGCAGGGAAAGGAACCGTTCAAGCCACGTTACTCAGTTCCAAAAGGACTCACCAGTAACACATTCAGCAAGAGAAACGAAAATGTTGTTCCTGACTCTGACAAAGATGACAAGGGCATCTCCCATCATTACATCGATAACGCTTCTACGTCAGGTAGTTCCAACGGACAAACCAAGCCCCCAAAGTACGTGTTTGATATCAGTATCCATTTTGTTCCATCATTAATGTTCCTGATGCATTTAGGTACAATCCCAATTCCCCCTCAGAGGTCAATACAAGCTTTTCATCATCAGGAAACTACGTTCTCAATCAAGGGCTCAAATCTGCTTTCAAAACACCAATAATGGAATCGTATCCAGGGTCGAACTGCATGTCCAGCCTCCCTTTCCCTCCTTCTGATTTCAATTCGTCCTCTTATCTGCCCGCTTCCAAAGCAGCCACAACTTCTCCCCCTAAGAAGCGTGCCCGGGCTACTCCCAAGAAGCGTGCCACAAGGGGCAAAACCCTAGACATATCCAATGATTAATGTATTTGATACATGTATCCATGTTTAATAGCCTAAATGTTTAAGTACTACCGAACTATTACTCATTTCATTTTATTCCCTTACAAGAGCCTCTGCTCCATCTGCTATCACAAAATAAATGTCTACATACCACAATATTTCACTATGCTCTGTCATGCGCCACTGAATGTACATATAGGCTTACGTAGGCTGCAAAACAATCTTAACTGTCATTTCACTGCCGATAATTGATCAACGGTCCTCCACCTCTTCTTCTCACACCAGCCTTCCACTCAGTTTCAGTATGGAGTGCTTCACACGGTGCTTGGTTACTGTGGAACGTGCCGAAAACTCATATGGGTCAGACACACGTCCAATCGAGAATAAGTGTAATCGAAGAACAGACAAATACAACATGATTAAATAAACAGTCCTCTACTTTACAATAAGTGAGTTCCAAGAACCTCACATTCCAGTAGACCAAAATGGGATCAAATTATCAAATTATAATTAATCCTATTGTGTGACAAGATGGACCAATGAATACACATGCCCTTATCGATTGCAGGGCATGTCAAATACTGTGAAAGGCCTTTGACCACATTGTGGCTGGTGACATTTCATAACAGTAATGCAACGAAAAAGTATCCAATTGTGTATAAAGCCATATACCGCTGACCGGATAAGCAATACCCATAACTTTGAACAGATACCGGTGACTCACTACCCCAACGCATATTGCTGTATCACAGTAATATATCCTCAATGCATACAAATCGTAGCACTACACTCCTTGCCTTCCAAAAGCGAGTACCACATGCTCGATTTTACACTCCCACACGCACCACACTATCCTCGAAGTCTTTTGTGGGATTAACGACCAGCTAATGGCAAACAGGATCAACCATCACGTCTGTCCTGTCTGGCAATAGTCATTTCGACATCTGAAAACCTGTCACCTAAGAGTCACGTCACTTCAAGGATGTCATTTCATAAGCACGACACGTATATTCTAAGCTGTCTCCAGCAGCTCTTATCCGTTATCAGAGTATCTCGACACATCAGTCAAACCTCAATGCCCGAGTTTGAATTAGGACCGCCTTTCAAATTTCACTTATTCATTTGCATCAGCTTTCATACCAATGTCTACGTCAATACTTCAATAGTCCGTGTCATATCTCACCTCAGGATCACTCCTCCACCGTCTGTGAAGGGGTTCTGCTTGCCTGATAAGAATGTCAAACCAACGGTCATTACACTCAAACTATTTTTGATATCTCGACTTCTCAAGTGTATCAATATTTTACTTCAACTCCATGGCGTGAATATGCCTCCGGCTTCCGTTGCCAATGTCAGTCACCCACTAAGTCAACTGTTTATTCGAATCTTCATATACAAGCAACAGTGCGCGATCATATTATCAAGCTTGAAGTTTGTATTTGTTTTGCGAGTTCATAATGATACGTGAGTTACTATGATAAATAGATTCTTTTGTCTTTGAAGTCATCCAGTCTGATGAATGATACTGAGTACTATCGCTGACACTTGATTCTTTATCAAATATTCATATTGCTCACTTCTTAATCATTTGTTACACCTCTTATCCATCATAACCTTATCCCCACTTATACACCGTCTAATATTCATACATTTTACCTTGATTCATTATCAAAAACTGGTATCGATTGCATTGAGATGGTTGAAAGGCGGCATCCAAAGGGTCCTGCTGTTAGAAGTCAAGCGTTTGCTTCTGAAGAAAGCCTCCTCAACAGACTATGCAATGAGATTCCGCATAGCATTGGACGACCGGACGACCAGTGCAATGGCTGTGGAGCGTACCGATGGAGATTGGAACGGAGTGTCAAGGACGCCAAGTTGATACGTGCAAAGTACTCAAACTGTTGCCAGCAAGGCTCGATTGAGTTACCGCTCAAGTACTTTGCCCAAGATGTAGGACAGCCAGTACCCGATTTCTATCGCGCTCTCCTGACTGGTACAGACGATAGTAAGGATGATTTGTTTCTCACTCAGTATGACCTATCTGACTTTGATTTCAGCCTCCGTTTTGTTTAGATCCAAGATTCAAAAATATAACAATGCTTTATTGTTCACCTCTCTTGGGGCAAATGTTGACAAATCTGTGGCAGGACAGCTGGGCACTTACACATTCAGGATCTCAGGCCAACTTTCCCACAACATTGGTTCCCTCATGCCAACACCTGAAGACATACCCGGTTTTGCCCAGATATTCATCTACGGTGGTGGAGGACCGGACGAGACTTTATATTGGATCCATCGCAGTCAAAACGATCTAGACCCCAATATCCTATACCTCTTTCAGCAATTTATGAATTTGCACAATCCCTATGCCCAGGTTTTCCGCTCAGCTGCTCAATTGTGCCATGCTCGCGACACTCGCACTCTCCGAATCAAGACTCTCTCGGCCCCAGGACACGACCACCGACGATACAACCGTCCTACTGTGAATGATGTTGCAGCAATTGTTGAAGGAAACGGTAATATCGGGGCCAAGGCGAGGGATATAATTCTTGACGTCAATCTCACTAAGGCTCCAGGCCGCTATTATTTCGCGCTGACTGCCGTCCTGGGGACTCCGTTATCCTTTA